GTGCAGGGAGCCCGATGTGGGGCTCAATCCCAGGACCCTGGGACAATGACCTGAGCCGAAGGCAGACGCTTAACGACTGAGCCACCCAGGCGCCCCTTAAGTGCTGTTTTTAAAAAAGATTTTATTTATTCATTTGAGAGAGAGAGAGCATGAGGGAGCGCACAAGTGGGTGGGGGAAGGGCAGAGGGAGAGGGAGAAGCAGGCTCCCCGTTGATCAGGGAGCCCAAGACGGGGCTTGATCCCGGGACCCCAGGATCACGACCTGAGCTGAAGGCAGATCCTTAACCGACTGAGCCACCCAGGTGCCCCTGTAAATGCTGTTTTAATAATTTTTTTCAATTTATTTTTTTTAAGATTTATTTATTTATTTGAGAGAGCGAACAGGGGGAGGGACAGAGGGAGAGGGAGAGAATTTCAAGCAGACTCCCCATTGAGCCCATCATGGGGCTCGATCTCATGACCCTGAGATCATGACCTGAGCTGAAATTGAGAGTTGGATGCTCAACCGACTGAGCCACCCAGGCACCCCAGAATTTTTTTCAATTTAAATAAATCTTATTTGAATTTCAAACAGAAAAAAAAAAAGTTATGTGCGTAAAAAGACTTGTACAAAAATGTGCATAGCAGCTCTATTCATAATAGCCATAACCTGGAGACAGATCAAGGGTCCATCAATAGGAGACTAGATATATAAACTCTTGTATATTCATACAGTGGAATACTAATCAATGATGTAAGGGAATCAGTTACTAATACATGCAACAATATGGGCAAATCTCAAAAAACATTATGCCAAATGAAATCACCCTTACCCAAAAGAGCACATGTTTTATAATTCCACTTATATGAAATTCTAGAACAGGTAAAACTAAACTTTGGTGGAATAAAATTGGAAGAATGGTTGCCTCTGGAAGATTAGGGGCAGCAATTGAGCTGGAAAGGGGCAGGAGGGAACTTGCTGAGGTGATGATGATGTTCTATGTCTTTTTTTTTTTTTAAAGATTTTATTTATTTATCTGAGAGAAAGAGAGAGAGACAGAGAAACAGCATGAGAGGGGAGAGGGTCAGAGGGAGAAGCAGGTTCCCCGCTGAGCCGGGAGCCCGATGTGGGACTCGATCCCAGGACTCCAGGATCATGACCTGAGCCGAAGGCAGTTGCTTAACCAACTGAGCCACCCAGGCGCCCGATGTTCTATGTCTTTATAGATGTTTTGATTACACAAATGTATGAAGTCTTAAAATCTCAGCATAAGTAGACTGAAGATTAGTACATTTCATTGTATGTAAATTTTACCTTGAATGAAAATGTATACAAACATGAAACTCATTAATTGTACGTATGGTGATTTTTTAGGGGGAGGTGTATTGATGCCTGCAATTTACTCTAGAACCTATCAAGGGGCGCATGGGTGGCTCAGTCGGTTAAGCATCTGACTCTTGATTTCAGCTTGGGTTGTGATCTCAGGGTCGTGGGATCAAGGCCTGCGTTGGACTTCACACTTGGCGTGGAGTCTGCTTGAGATTCTTTACCCCTCCCTCTCCCTCTGCCCGACCCCCCGCCTTAGCATTGGCTCTTGCTCTCTCTCAAATAAATAAATAAATAAATAAATAAATAAAATCTTAAAAAAAATGAATGGGTGAAGGAAGAGAGGGATGGATAGATGTACAGATATGAGACAAAGCAAATCTAGTAAAATGTTAATGGTAGGGTCTATGTGGTGAGTACACTGGCATTCACTGTAAAGTTCTTTCAACTTTGTTTTAAGGTTGAAGATTTTTATCATTGGGGTGCCTGGGTGGCTCAGTGGGCTAAGTGTCTGCCTTTGGCTCAGGTCATGATCCCAGGGTCCTGGGATCGAGTCCCCGCATGAGGCTCCCCACTCAGAGGGAAGCCTGTTTCTCCCTCTCCCTCTGCCTGCCGCTCCCCGTGCTTATGCTCTCTCTCTGTGTCAAATAAAGAAATAAAATCTTAAAAAAAAAAAAGGAATCATCTTGTTTTAAAAAAAGAAAATTTTTATAATAAAATATTGGAAAAAGAATGAGATTGATTTTGTGTGTACTAACATAGAGAGATATCCAAAACATACTGTTAAAAACAAGCCTTGGGGAAAAATATAGTATGATATCATGGACATAAAACAACTGAGCAAAATAAAAACCTTACTTCTGTGAATAGATTAATAGAGGATACATATTAAACTGTTAACAGTGGTAACCTTTGGGGAAGAAAGTATAATGAGAGGGTTGGTGTCTTAGCTTGGTTCCCCAGAAAGCAAAGCCTGGGGCAAACGCTTATGTGGTAACACTTTTGGAGATAATGCAGTTCTAGGAAAGCAGGAATGAGGGGCAAAGGAGAATAAGGCAGGGAAAGGAGACCGTAAAAATGTGGGTGTATTACTGAGCTGGCCCAGCTTTCTAGCAAGCACCAATGATTGTTTGGTTTCAAGAGAGGTCATCAGAAATGCTGTATGAACCTACTGCATCCCCCAGCTGTCCATGGTGGGGAGGAAGGGAGAAGAATTTATCTGCTGGTTGCTCTATCTCACTAGACAAAGGGTACCCCAAAAGGCATCAACTCCCCCATGTTTCTGGAACCAACCTGGCCAGCCAGTCTGCAAGCATGGGTGCTGAGTGAGTCTTGTGGAATATCGGGTCTCAGCAGCAAGAGTTAAGCCCCAAAGGTGGTTCTGAGGCTCAAGGAAAGAATGGGTTGTGCCTCTGAGCAACTTGGGGGGCCAGGAGTAGTCCCCCACAGTAGGCGCTCCTGGATCAACCAGTGGAACACAAAGACAATATCGCCTCTGCCTCAGGCATATGACAGGCTTCCCCCTTGCAGCCTAGAGGAATGTACTTACTACCAGGCAATCCTTTTGGGGAAGCCTTCAGTAACAGCGAGAGAAAAGACCACTGAGCAAATCTAGGGAAATGCATAATCTGGGTCCGGCACAAGTGATCTTGGTAAGTGAGGACTTTAACCTTTAACCGAGTGTACTTCTGCATTGCTTAAATCTTTTACAAGACTGTATTTATGTATTGCTTGTGTAATTAAACAAAACCAATAAAACCGGGGTGCTTGGGTGGCTCAGTGGTTAGGCGTCTCTTTTTTTTTTTTTTTAAAGATTTTATTTATTTATTTGACAGAGAGACACAGCGAGAGAGGGAACACAAGCAGGGGGTGTGGGAGAGGGAGAAGCAGGCTTCCCGCTGAGCAGGGAGCCCGATGCGGGGCTCGATCCCAGGACCCTGGGATCATGACCTGAGCCGAAGGCAGACGCTTAATGACTGAGCCACCCAGGCGCCCCAAGGCATCTGACTCTTGATTTTGGTTCAGGTGATGATCTCAGGGTCGTGAGATTGAGCCCCAAGTTGGGCTCTGCACTGGGCGTGGAGCTTGCTTAGGATTCTCTCTCTCCCTCTTCACCCACCCAACCCCTCACTCGAGTGCTCTTTCAAAAAAAAAAAAAAATCAAAATGTAATCATCTTTGTGTAACATTTTGTAGCCAATATAGTAGGAAGATAAACAGAGTGAATTATGGAAATGCTAGCCTAATATTACATGACCCAATAAATTTAAGTAAGTTTTTTTTTTTAAGTAGGCTCCATGCCCAGTGTGGAACTCGACCCTGAGATCAAGACCTGAGCTGATAACGAGAGTTGGATACTTAACTGACTGAGTCACCCAGGGGCCCCTAAGTAAGATATTATTTTAGGGAAAGCAATACATTAAATGAAACAAAGTGAGATTTAATTTTTATTTCCTTTTTACATAGTCTCCTAAAAATAAATTCAAAAATTGGAAAATAGTTCATTGCGATGATGTGTTTTGAATTGTGGCATGGGAATGGATTTATGGTCACTGGGATAATAGGCACACAAAGTACAGGTTTCTGCTTCTGGGATGAGGGTAAGATAATTACATTTGTTAAAGAGCTAGTAAAACGTCAGAGGAATCTGGCCCATCTTGTTGTGCTCTTTGCTCTCTGCTAGTCTGATCTCGCTGGTCACCGGGAGCCTTACAGCCTATTTCCTCCTTTTCTTGCAGTGACAAACCCCACACCCCTCTTTATTAAATTTTAAAGTTTTTTGCATTTGAATATCTCAGACAGCACATGATTCTCCTACTGAGTTACAGTTTTTGCTGATTAAAACATTCATTTATTCCTGAGGGGCGTCTGGGTGGCTCAGTCAGTTAAGTGTCCGACTCTTGATTTCGGCTTAAGTCATGATCTCGGGGTCATGAGATCGAGCCTTGCGTTGGGCTCCAAGTTCAATGGGGAGTCTTCTTGAGATTCTCTCCCTCTCCCTCTGCCCCTCCCCCCACTCTCTCTCAAATAAATAAGTAAATAAAATTTTTTTTTTAAAGATCCCATTTATTTATTTGACAGAGACACAGCAAGAGAGGGAACACAAGCAGGGGGAGTGGGAGAGGAAGAAGCAGGCCTCCTGCTGCGCAGGGAGCCTGATGCGGGGCTTGATCCCAGGACCCTGGGATCATGACCTGAGCCGAAGGCAGACGCTTAACGACTGAGCCACCCAGGCGCCCCTAAAATATATATTTTTTAAAAGATCAGGCGCCCCAGATGAGAGTAACATTTAAATTGGCAAATTTTGGGTAAAGCAGATTACTCCCCATAATGTAAGTGGGGCTTATCCGTTCAGTTGAAGAACAAAAAGACTGGCCTTTCTGAGTAACAGGGACTTCACCAGCAGGCTGCCTTTGGACTGGAACTGGAACGTTGGCTTTTGTGAGTCTCGAACTTTCTTCTTCTTCTTCTTTTTTTTAAGATTTTATTTATTTATTTGAGAGAGAGAGCAAACATGAGCTGGGGGAGGGGCAGATGAGAAGAGAGCCCTTTGCGGGGCTCGATCCCAGGACCCTGGGATCATGACCTGAGCTGAAGGCAGATGCTTAACTGACCCGGCACCCCAGGTCTCGAACCTTCTGACCCAAAGTGCAGGTTTGGACTTGCCAACCTTCATAATCATGTAAGCCAATTCCTTATAATAAATCTCTTTATATAAGTAAATAAGTAAATAAATTTTGTGTGCATATATATATATACATATACATATATATCTTTCACTAGTTAATAATTATACTAAAGTTTCCATGTTTAAATTCATGGTGTGGTTTCTGTCTCCTGACCAGACACTGACTGATATCAGCAGTGTACATGATATAGGGGCACATACATGAAGATGATCATAGTAAAATAAGATAAAGTACTTTCCCTCAGTAATTGAAAGAAATGGACAAAGGAAAAGTTATGAAAACATTTCATAAGAACTATGATGGAGGGGTGCCTGGGTGGCTCAGTCGGTTAAGCGTCTGCCTTCAGCTCAGGTCAGGATCCCAGGGTCCTGGGATCCTTCTCTCTCTCCCTCTCCCGCTCCCCCTACTTGTGCTGTCTCACTCTGTCAAATAAATAAGTAAAATCTTTAAAAAAAAAAAAGAATGAACTATGATGGACATGTTTTTTTTAGGGCCACGCAGAAGCAGAGAAGAAGGAACACCTACCTCATGGGATGTCATAAGGCTTCACGGAACGAGTGATGTCTGAACTGAACCTTGAGGGAACACGGTTTTCCAGGTAAATGAAGGTGGAGAGTAGCACAATCCAGATGGAGGGGAGAAAGTATGTCCAGAGGCAAGAGGAAACACGTTACATACCGGGGAGTGTAAGTGTGGTAGCTCCCCGAGGCTGGGGCACGGGAGGCAGGAGAGAACGGTAGGAACGTGAAGGATATCGTGAGTCACTTTAAGTAGTTTGCATTTACGGCTCCAGGCCAGAGATTCTCAACCCAGCTCCCCGACCAAGACACCCACCGCAGATGATACTCATACTCATAACGGTTCCATACCTGTGCCAGATTTTTGCTGAAACACCCCTCCCCTAATTCGAGGGTGTAATGAAGCATCTGTAATTTATAGTTGCTGCAGCCAGAAATGGAACATTGGTAATGGTTGCTCATTACCGTCTATAGCATAGATCAGATAGGCTGTGTGTTGCACAAAATTCCTGGCTCTAATCCTGGCTCTTTCTCTTCCATTTAAGAGAATGCTGATGCTCCCCTCGGCCTTCTGCAACTGCTCTGATCCATTTATTAAGTAATCCAAAGGATGGACAACTTTGAGGAGGGCCCAGAGAAATAAAAATCTTTTCAACAGGTTCAGGCTGCAGTGCAGAGAGCAAAAAGCCGGACTGACAGACTAATGTGGGGACAGTGCCAAGTCCTGCTGGGGGATTACAGATGGCGGTGAACTGACTATAGCACGTAGGCATTCTCGTGGCCAACGTCTCCTGCAAATACTCAAGGCGAAGGAATTACAAGCTAAGAGACTACCTCATCCCAGTGCTGCTTCTCGAGAGTTGAAAGGTGAACGCTCAGAAGGGCTGCTGGTCCACAGGGACAGCAGATGGGATGATCCAGAGTAGTTTTGTGGTGCCTGGCACTCCCTTCTCTGGGGCTCCTCCCCTCTCTCTCCTTAAACTCATTCTGACTACATTAGTCATTTTTGCTGAGGTAACAACCAACCTCAGAATCTCTGGGCCTTACAACAGAGGCTGGTGAACTTTTTCTGCGAAGGGCCAGATAGTAAATATTTTGGGCTTTGTGGGACATCCGGTGTCTGTTACAGATGCTCAGCTCTGTCCTTAGAGCAAGAAAGCCGTAGACAATATGTAAACGAATGAGTGTGGCCATGTTCTGACAAAACTTTAGGAATACTAAAACTTGAACTTCATATAGTTTTTAAATCCTGTTCTTTTGATTATGTTTTTATTGAGATATACTTGACATATAACATTGTATTATATCAGTTCCAGGTGTACAACATAATGATTTGATATTTGAATGTATTGCAAAATGATCACCACAGTAAGTCTAGTTAATATCAGTCACCTCACAGTTACAAATTTTTTTCCTTGTGCTGAGAACTTTTATTTATTTATTTTTTAAAGATTTTATTTATTTATTTGACAGAGAGAGAGAGAAGGGGAGCACAAGGAGGGGGAGCAGCAGAGGGAGAGGGAGAAGCAGGCTCCCCACTGAGCAGGGAGCCCGATGTGGGGCTCGATCCCAGGACCCCAGGATCACGACCTGAGCCGAGGGCAGATGCTTAACCGCCTGAACCACCCAGGCGCCCCCGAGAACTTTTAAGATCTACTCTCATAGCAACTTTCAAATACACAATACGTATTAACTATAGTCACCACACATACATTACATCCCCATGACTTACTTATTTTGTAACTGGAAGTTTGTAACCTTTGACCTCCTTCACCCATTTGGGCTCACGCCCCCACCTCTGGCAACTACCAATCTGTTCTCTGTATCTACGGATTTGTTTTGTTTTGTTTAGATTCCACATATAGATGAGGTCAAATAGTATTTGTCTTTCTCTGACTTATTTCATTTAACATTATAGCCTCAGCGTCCATCCATATTGTTGCAAATGGCAAAACTTCCTTTTTTATGGCTGAATAATATTCCTGTGTGTGTGTGTGTGTGTGTGTGTACATAACACATTTTCTTTATCCATTCATCCATGAATGGACACTTAGGTTGCTTCTATGTCTTGACTATTATAGATAATGCTGGAGTGAACATGGGGGTATTTACATCTCTTCAAGTTAGTGTTTTTATTTTCTTTGCATAAATACCCTAACATAGAATTGCTGGATCATATGGTATGTCTATGTTTAATTTTTTGAGGAAAATTCTACTGTTTTCCAGAGTGGCTGCACCAGTTTGCATTCGCAGCAACTGTGCACAAACTTTCGCTGTCCTCCACATCCTCACCAACACATCTTCTTATCTGATAACCACCATTCTAACAGGTGTGAGGTGATATCTCATTGTGGTTTTGATTTGCATTTTTCTGATGATGAGTGATGTTGAACACTTTTTCATGTACCTGGCCACCTATATGTCTTTTTTGGAAAAATGTAGATTCAGGTCCTCTTCTCACTTTTTAATCAGATTGTTTTATTTTGCTATTGGTTTGTATGAATTCTTTACATATTTTGGATATTAATCCCTTACCAGATATATGATTTGCAAATATTTTCTCCCATTCAGTAGGTTGCCTTTATTTGTTTGTTTTTAAAGATTTAATTAATTTATTTGACAGAGAGAGAGAGCACAAGCAGGGGGAGCAGCAGAGGGAGAAGGAGAAGCAGTCTCCCTGATGAGCAGGGAGCCCAATGCTGGGCTGGATCCCAGGACCCTGGGATCATGACCTGAGCCGTAAGCAGAAGCTTAACTGACTGAGCCACCCAGGCACCCCAAGGTTGCCTTTATTTTTGTGAGCATGTTCTTTGCTGTGCAGAAGCTTTTTAGCTTGATGTCGTCCCACTTGTTTATTTTTGCTTTTGATAACTTTGCTTTTGGTGTCAGACCCAAAAAAGACATTGCCAAGTGCCATGTCAAGGAGGTTACAGCCTATCATTTTCATCAAGGAGTTTTATGGTTTCAAGTCTTACATTCAAGTCTTTAATCCATTTTGAGTTAATTTTTGTGTATGGTATAAGATAATGGTCTAGTTTCACATTCTTTTGCATGTGGCTGTCTAGTTTTGCCAACATCATTTATTGAAGACACCGTCCTTTCCCTTGTATATTCTTGGCTCCTTTGGTGTAAGTTAATTGACCCTCTCTGTGTGTTTTGATTACTTTCCAACCTTCCAAAAATGAAAACAAATTCTTAGCTTAATGGGTCTTACAGAAACAGCCAGTGGATTGGGTTTGGCCCATGGACTGTAGTTTGCCAACCCTTGGTTTACAACAACCAACATCTATTTCTTGCTGTCTTTACATATTGGTAATTGCAGGTCAGATTCTGTGGCTCAAAGCACCTCACTTTGGGACCTACATTGGGCTATAGGAGCGGCCCCTATTTGAGTCACGCTATTCATGCAGCAGAGAGGAAGAACAAGAGTTAGAAACACAGGAGGGAAACACATGATGCCTTCTAAGCTCTTGCTCAGAACTGGCCTGCTGTCACCACTCATATTCTGTTGGTCCAAGCAGGTCACAAAACCCAACCAGATAGTGGAGCAGGGAACTGTGCTGTCTCCAGAGAGGCATTGAAAATCACACAGCAATGGGTGGTGACATATAATCCTCTCAGAGGGAAAGAAGGGACTAGTTGGAAAGGCTAATACAACATACCACTGTGCACCAGGACCCATTCCCAGTATGCATTAGGACAGTACGTCAAAGTGTGGCTCAAGGACTGATGTCCCTGGTCTATAATAAGTGTAGAAAGTGAAAGTAAGTAAAAATTTAAGAAGTTTTATATAATAAATATGCCTGCAACAGATTGGGAACAAAAACAATCTAGTTGTTCACCCCAGTTTGAGAAACACTTTCATCAGTAGACAGAGTAGCCAATACTTTCAGGGGACGGGAATTCACAGGCCAATATACAACCATTATGAGAAAAACAACAAACGGGATCACATAGACACACATGCACACACATGCACACACAATCACATATATAAAATCTAAGAATTAGTGAAATAAAAAATCAGAAATTTAAAATAAAGATGATAAAAATACTTAGAGAAGAGATTATATTAACATCTGAGGTAATGAGAAATCATAAAAAAGAACCAAGAAGGAATACTAGGATTGAAAATGGAAAGAACACAAGAGATAGAATAAATAGGGGCGCCCAGGTGGCTCAGTCATTAAGTATCTGCCTTCAGCTCAGGTCATGATCCCAGGGTCCTGGGATCGAGCCCCACATGGGGCTCCCTACTCCGCGGGAAGCCTGCTTCTCCCTCTCCCACTCCCCCTGCTTGTGTTCCCTCTCTCGCTGTGTCTCTCTGTCTGTCAAATAAATAAATAAAATCTTTAAAAAAAAAGAATAAATAGAAGGATAGATATGGCTAAAGAAAAATTAGTAAATTTCAAGATCATATTGAGGAGATTTCCCATAACATGGCAAGAAAGGACAAAAAGATAAAGGATACAAAAAGAAGTAGAGAGACATGGAGGACAGGAATAAAAATGCCAACATCTGGAAAATTAGGGGTTCCAGAAGGCAGGTGAAAAAACACGGAGAGGAATAAATTATATTTTGAATAGTGAAGGTAACCTTCCCAGAATTAAAGAAGGATGAAAGGTCTTAGATTAAAAGGACCCATTAAATGCCAAATAGAGCATTAGGAAAAAATCTACACTGAGACACATTATAACAAAATGTAAGATTGTCAATGTAAAATGTAAGAATATCAAAGACAAAGAGAAAATTGTAAGGAAACTGTAAGGGAATTCTATGGGAAGAGAAAGGGCAAATCGGTATCATTCTACTCAACAGCAACACTGCATGCAAGGTAAGGATAGAACAATACGCTTTAAAGTATCAAAGGAAGAGAACTTTGATTCTAGAATTTTTTATATCCCATCAAATTCTCATTCAAATGCTAGAGCATAATACAAATATTCTCCAGCACACAAAGCCTTGGAAGCTTTGCCACACAAACACTGAGAACAATCTTGAAGAAAGTAATCAAGATGAGACACAAATCAAGGAGATGCTCCAAGAGACTGGAGAAATAACAGTGTTCAAATGCTTTGGGACACCTGCCTGGCCCAGTTGGTAGAGCCTGTGACTCTGGATCCTGGGGTCCTGAGTTCAAGCCCCATATTGGGTATAGAGCTTACTTTAAAAAAAAAAAAAAGAGTGTTCAAATACTTTGGTAAAGTTTATCTTTGACTTTAAAGAAAAGGGGTTGTACCAAATAAGATGAAAAGAGAATACACATCTATAACAAATAATATCAATACTGGATGGAGGTGGAGAAAAAGAGACATAAGTGTATGTTTAAGTACCTTCTTATTAAGGGGAAGAAATAGATATTGATACATTTAATTGTTCATAAGAGTAAAAAACCATGAATATAAGTAATAAATTAAGAACAACCACAATGTGGGGCACCTGGGTGGCTCGGATGGTTAAACGTCTGCTTTCAGCTCAGGTCAGGATCTCCAGGTCCTGGGATCAAGCCCCATGTTGGGCTCCCAGCTCAGCAGGGAGTCTGCTTCTCCCTCTCCCTGCCTCACCCCCTGCTTGTTCTCTATCTGTCTCTCTCTCTCTGTCTCTCAAATGAATAAATAAAACCTTAAAAAAAAAACCCACAACATGAATAAAATACAAATATATAGCTTTTATTTTATTTTTTTATTTAAAAAATTTTTATTTATTCTATTTATTTATTTAGAGAGTCAAGGCGGAGGGAGAGAGAAAGAATCTCAAGCAGACTCTGTGCTGAGCATGGAGCCTGACATGGGGCTCGATCCCACTACCCTGAGATCCTGACCTGAGCTAAAACCAAGAGTCAGAAGCTTAATCGACTGAGCCACCCTGGCACACCCAAATATATAACTTTTAAATCAGCCAAAGAAAACTCAATCTAGGGTGTCTGGGTGGCTCAGTCGGTTAAGCATCTGCCTTTGGCTCAGGTCATGATCCCAGGGGCCTAGGATTGAGTCCTGAGTCGGGCTCCCTGCTCTGCAGGGAGTCTGCTTCTCCCTCTGCTCCTCCCCCCACTTGTTCTCTTTCTCTGTCTCTTGCTCTCTCTCTCTCTCAAATAAGTAAATAAAATATTTAAAAAAAGAAAACCCAATCTAGCCAACAGACTAAAGAGAACAGTGACAATAGTATAAAAGGAATAAAATATGAAGCAAATGTGAAATAACATGACAAAAGTAAATCCTAATTTAACTGTAAATACAATAATGTAATTGAATTAAAATCAAAATTAAAAGGCCAAGAT